GGGGGGGGGGTTGGTGGTATCGAGTCTGTTTTGAAACCAGTTGAAACTCTTTGCCCCACAGCTCTTTTCCGTCCTTTGCTGGCCAAGGAATATTCCCCCAAATTTGATTATCTGGTCGCTAATAAAGACCAGGTCAAGAGCAAACGGATTTCTCAAACTGCAAATCTATTCTGAGGTTGAAAAGAGCCGAGCTCACACAGACCTTTCTCTTGTGTTATCTTTGTCGGCATATCTCTCTCGGAGATAAGTCCTTATCTTGTGCCATGGGTTTTTGGAGCAGTGTCAAAAAGGAATTTTAGAATAAGTGGAGCCGTGGATCTGAGACAAATTGCTTAATTCTTCCTTTCTGGTGCTATGTCTGTCTGGGAGCCTTTTGATGTCAGCGACAGGGGGATTTCCTGTGTGTGTGTGTGTGTGTGTGTGTGTGTGTGTCTGAGTGTGTATGTTTGTCTCAGTGTCTGTGCTGATTCATATTACACACACTCCTGCATTTGTATGCTAAAACTTTAGAAATTTTATGTATTATGAAGCTTTGTCAGAAACTAAAAATACAACAGACAAAACACGTGTTCCACATGTGATCCCCCACTCCTCTTGTCTTATTTATAAAAATCCTTTATTTGCTGACTACGGTTAGCGTTTGGGCCAATCAGTTACTTAAAAATTTCCACACAGCTTGTTTTTCATAATTTCACTGATGATGTCGACATGAGCAAACAAATAAAAGTTTGACTGTATTCTCAACCGTCCTACAGAACTAACTTTCAATTCTCTCTCCTTCATTCCTCCTTCCTTTCTTTCCAATCAGGTGATGGGTCTGCTGAACCCGGGCGGTGTGCCACATCAGCCCCAAAGCGATTACGCCATCTCCCCTCTGACGGGCGGCCTCGAGCCCCCTGCTGGCATGGCGGCCAGCTGCAGCCAGCGCATGGACCACATCAAGGGCCTGGAGGGTCTCACCAGTGTTCCCTCCATGTCAGCTCTGCCCTCCCTGCCCAGCTCCCAGTCCTACTGTACCCCCTCCTACAGCTCACCGGGCTACACCGTCGACCACGTGGCGTCCTACCAGTACGGCCAGTACGGACAAAGTAAGGTCAATAGACTTCACCTTTTTATTCTCACCTTTTGCTTCCACATCCACATCTGCATGAACAATGTCAAACAAATACCATATGTAATAATAGAATGTTTGATTACACATTCACTCAAAGGCTTTACAGAACAGTTAACAAAAAATAAAAAAAACAATTAAATAAAGACATTTTATTTATATAGATATCTATATTCTTTATCGTTAAGCCTCTGACAGCAAAGACTCAACTGCCAGTTTTCACCATACAGTGATGGAAGAATTATTCAGGTCCTCAATAAAGTAAAAGAAACAATAACACACCATAAAAATACCAGATTACAAATAAAAGCCTTGCACCAAAATGTACTTAAAGTATCCAAACTAAAAGTACTCATTATGAAGAATGCTCCTGTCAATGATCACATTATTGGATTTTTGTTATTGTTGCTTAATTAACATGTAAGCAGGATGTTAGACCGGGACTACGGATGGAAATGAGCTTCAAGCTATATCTGCTGCAATAAATGTAGTATGCATTGTCCCAATGAAATAAATAAATAAATAATGTATCTGGTTGAGGTCTGCAAATTTGAACTACTTTCTGGTGGTAGTAACTACAAGCTGTAGCTGTCAGATACACATAGTGGAGTAAAACGTTCAATATTTCCCTCCAAAATGTAGTGGAGTAAAAGTATGAAGCAGCACAAAATAGAAATACTCAAGTACATCAAACTTGTAATCAAGTACTTTAGGACATTAATTTGCCTGACATTAAATGCTGCCCAGTTGTCCTGTGTTAGAAACCTGAATGGGAACAGAGCAAGGAGTGGAAACACACTGACATAGTATGATTTACAGGCACTTATATAGAGTTGATTACAGAGTTATATCTACAGTGTTGTTGAATAGCTTCATTCAGTGATGTCTGTCAAACTATTTTTGAGAATATGCTTGTCTCAGGGCTTAGGGATCATGTGATCACCAAACAACAAACCCTCAAGACTGACATTAAACAATTTGATGACCTTTCCAGCTTCCCAGTGCAACCCGCTGACTGGGATTTACTGTGGCCTTATTTTCAGTGACAGAATTAAGATGAAAACATCTGAAAAACATCAGGTAGTCCAGTGGTCTAAGACACATAACTTGGAACCACAACTTCCTTGCTTTGATTCCAGGGATAAAAAGAAGCAGTTGTGCATGTAGTAGTCAACACACAGGTCGCGGCAGTGCTGCTTGTTAAAGACATTTTCCCGGCTCCAGTCATGCAGTCTCAAGTGTTGGGGTTAATTGCGCAGACCTGATTCCATCTATGAAGCGATCAGCCCGGCGCTGATACTGAAAGCTGTGGTTAGGCGCACTGCAGAGTCCGCTCCAGCAGTGTGTGATAGCCCTCCTCAGAGAATACCTACCTGTCCAGCAGTCAGAGGGTCTTTTCACTTCACATTACCGTTACTTTAAGGGTTAAAATCAACTTCAAACAAATCTCCATCGAAACTTTGGAAGGCAACGTCGTTTTCCGTCACAGCGTGATTACAGCGGCCGCCGTTTCCAATTTTGGGTCCACAGGGGGGTTGACCAATCAGGTTCATCCACTGACCTTGTGGCAACCTCGAGACAACCGGGCCCTTCAAAGAGCAGCGTGGCAACGGTCCAGCGGGGCTGACTGCATGTAGGCGGCAGGTATCAAGTGAATATCTGACTTAATATCCGAGAGCGGCAAATGTCTAATGAAATATCTCGGTCAAATATCTCAAAGTGAACAGAATAAAGAATTAGGGCGACACACATGAAAAACCTCCAGCATGTGGCACGGTGCGTGTACACACACACACACACACAAGCCGAGAGGCAGCCACCGGGACACACACGCACTCACATACACCTCCACAGCAGTTGGAGCCCGAGCAGTCCATCTTGATGTGATTAATCAGTGCGACTGGATAGCCGGTGTGCGGTTGGGTTCGGAGCTGCGGAGGAAAGGTCCTTTCTGGGGGTGGACGGATCCTAATAGCCTCTGGCAGGGCGGCTATTGGAAACAGGTGCTAGGACTGAGGTCAGCTGGGGAAGCAGCGTTGAATGTAGAGCCGCTCCAGGTTCCAGTGTAAGAGACTGGTCCACCCTGCCGCACATTCTGACAACATGTAACTCTCGCTGGACTCCCTCACGGAAACTAACGTGGTAGTCCATGAAATACTTGCTTGTTTTTATTTAGGTAATGTCTCTGTTGCTAGGCAAGGCGGTGCACTGGTGTTTTCGCTCAGCGCTTCACGGAGCTCACCTGTCAGTCAGCGAGCCCACTACTGCAGCCGCTCTGTTCGGATGTTGATGGAGTTTCTTTACCTGCTCTGACATGGATTGAAAACAAACAAACAAACTATTGTTTCTTGTTCTGTCCAGGGTCCCTCTTTAACAGCTCAAAATCATGAAGCATCATCAAATCTTATAAGCTTGACTTTAAAGTGATGACATGTTTCAGGCCGCTAGAGAAAGTGCGCGCACACATTACTTCTGTTTTGGGTCTCCAGACTCCAGCTGTAAAACATAGTTAAACACAATGGCGACTTTCTACACAGCGCTACTCTTCCCTGCGCATTTAAATGGCTCTTATCGGCGTTCATAGGAGGCCTGGTTTAACCTCTCAATTCAGAGAAACAACTATGTAGGACAACATGCTTTACATTTATTGTGATTGTAAACAACGAACGAATGAAAGAAAATACATATTTGTACATATAGCATATAAAACAGGTGTAACAATTCTTTACGGTTATTTCCATATTCTGTCACCTTCATCAAATGTGCAAGATCAGTTTGTGGCAAAGGAAAGACTTACCACTTCAATACTTTTCTACCTGTTGACTTTTAATATCATCAAAAGTAAAGGAAAACAAATACTATAACTCACTAATTAAAGGAAAAAGGCAGTTATTATTGTTATTATTACACATACAGCAGTGGGATCTGGGACCCAAAACATGGCCTATCATGTCAACACAAGGGTTAATCAGTGCACTGACATTTTTTTTTGCAATTTTGTGACATTTAAAAAAAGATTTATTATGGGTACTTTATAGGCTGATTGTAGTATTTTTAAACATTTGAAAGTTGTGCTACATTAAGGCCAATGAATAAATAAAATACAAATTATTCAGAATTTCCTCACCAGAATATTATTGTATTTAAATCAGCAATAACACAAGTCAACAATGAACTGAATGCATAAAGTTTGACAAAGCCACATAAAACATTTGGCGTCTGGTCAAAATATTGTGGGCAACTTGAACATTAGGCTGCATGTACAGTGATGATGCATATATCCTACAGATATACCCCAGATATAACCTGAGAGCCTTCCAGTTTGCATTTTTACTGTCATTGCACATTTTCTTTTGTTGCTGTGAGTGTGTGAAATCTTGTATTTATTTGAGGCATCTTCACACTTCTGTTCTCACATCCCCCTCCATTGACCTTACACCCCGAAACCACTGTTAGCACATGCTATGCTAACAGTAGCCATATGTTAGCGGAATGGCACGTTCATAGCACACACATGCCCAAAATTTGTTGCGGCCATATATCTCTTTTAGCATCTTTCCAACTTATTTTTTTCAAAATCCTTTTTCAGTGGTAGTAATTTAACAACCCTTTTTTGTTTCTTTTTTTTTTACAGGTGCCCTTCCTTATTTGAGGCCTGAAATCACCTGATCGTGAGCTCCGGTCTTCACAGAGGGACATTTGTGTGTACAGCGATGGAAATCTTTAAATATCCGGACCAAAATTTTGTCACCATTTACCAGAACACATTCTCTACTGCAGGACATTATATTATTGATTCTGGGTGGAGAAATGGACAAATAAAAGAAGGGACCACAAGAAGGAATATCAGACCAAAAACTGTTGATTGACTGTGAACATTGCTGCATCAGTATTGCAGATGACCGGCAGTGATGTCAGTGCTTAACGTGGTTAGCTCGGTGGAGTTCTGACCATCTGCAGTGCCATGAAGAGGCACTTTCCAAACACCATTCTCTGACTTGCCTTTGGAGTCTTTGTGAGGACAGCAAACCCAAATCTACCATCACAGACTACCAGCCTTTGAGCCGACGCTTGAAGGAGCATGTTTACATATCTTAGGGCCACATGAGTGCATATGAAATCCCATGTATGTCCAAATTAATCCCCAAATTGTATCCACTGAAAGGGGAAAAGAAAAGGGCTTTGTTGATTTTATTGCATTTATTTGAGATCTCTGCATCCCACACATGGAGAGAAATTCCAGAGGCAGAGAAAACAAACGTGAGCAAACGAATCTGTGGGTCTTATTGTATCAGAAACCCTAATGTACACCACAGCTGTACTGCAGAGAAAGTTCATTCAAACATTCCTCCTCCCCCTCTTGTCTCTCCCTCTCACCCCTTTTGCCTTTCTGTCTTACTCCTTCTGTCTCATTGATGTTTCAGACGGTGAGGCAGGGATCCCGGCCTTTTGTAGTTTTAGAGAGGAACTCGGAGGAGGTCAGGGGGCGACTTTAGGGAAAGTGACAGATGAGAGAGCAGTAGAGGAGGGCGGCGGAGAAGTGGCTTTAAGGGGGTGGTTGGGGGGGGGGGG